AGCCCTCAGAGACTCTACTGGTCATACTGGGTGGCTGGACAATAAAGCTTGGCCTTTTTGGGTCAAGGCACAATCATAACCACCAGTCATTCCTCCCAACACCAAAAACCAGAGAGAACCTTCCCCAGGCAGCTCCCACTTCTGGCCCCAGGTACATGGCCTCAGAGGCAGCAAGCACCTGCCTATCATTGGTTGTGTTTGCTTACCTCCCTGACTACTGCCTTCCCAGGGGCAACATGCTGTAGCCATACTTCTTGAGTTGCCTCCCAGAAAACAGTCTGCTCTCTGGGGAGCCCTGCTACCTACAGTCCTTGGCTGGGGGTCTTTGAACAAGTCTTGCCATTCAGGCCACCTTTACACATTTCAAAGACTCCATACTTGCTCCAGGCCTCCCCTGCCTGTGCGGAAGGGAACTGCCCACTGGAGAGCTGATGGGATGGGGCTATGAGGCCACTTTCCGGTTCTGTCTGTTGGTGCCTTGCCTTCTGGGTTGACCCATCTCTGTTTCAATAAATACTGCTGCCATGCAAGGGTGTGTGATATTTTGTGCCAGTCTCACTACTCCCTCTTCTCTGCCTGCCCCAGCCAACGAATTCTAGGCCTGCCCCACACTGGTAACCAGCATTTTAGAAAAGCCAGTATCCTATGTCCCAGGGTAACCTTCTCACTCATCCCTGTGACTCCTCTTCTTCTAGTCCATTCCCACAGCCTGATCCATGTGTCCTCATCTGTCCCTAAAGGCCTGGAGCACAGCTCCAGCTCCCCTTGTAGCATCCTCCCCTCAAAATAAGCCACCCTGCTGTCTTAGTTAAGGTCACTATTGCTGTGATGAAACACCATAACCAAAGCAAGTTGGGGAGGAAAGGGTTTACTTTGTTTACACTTCCATATCATTGTCCATCATTGAAGGAAGTCAGGACAGGAACTCTAACAGGGCAGGAACCTGGAGTCAGGCGCTGATGCAGAGGCCATGGAGGAGTGCTGCTTGTTCCTCCTAGCTTGCTCACCCTACTTTTTTTTTTCTGAACCCCGGATCGCTATGGGCTAGGCCCTCCCCATCAATCACTAATTAAGAAAAAATCCTATAGACTTGCCTACAGCCCAACCAACCTTGTGGAGGCATTTCTCACTTGAGGGTCCCTCCTCTCTGATGATTCTAACTTGTGTCAAGTTGACATGAAACTAGTCAGAACCCCTGTCCTTTAGCCCCACCCTTCACATGCTTAGCCACCAGAGCCCCACCCCGAGTTCACTGCCTCACTCCTATCACTGGGCTCAGATCACTCCTGTCACAAGCATGTGCTTCTTTCCCCACCTGTTCCTCATTCCTGAACAACTTCCCACCCAGCGCAGCCTCCCCAGACTGCCACCCCACAAGGAGTCAAGTCTGCCCTCCTGAGGCTCCAGGATCACCTCACTGCCTTCCAGAGCAGACACACGGGCCAGTCCTGCATCCCTCATCACCTGTACCTGTGCTCAGGTCTTCTCTATTTACCAGTTGCCAATACCTCTGCATCACAGCTTGTAGAATCCTGAAGATATTTGGTTCTGCCTCCAATCGTTCAGGCCTTGTCAAAAGGTCAAACTGGAATCTTCTTGAGGGCAGAAAGTGTCTCCTACTCTGAGCCTTCACTAGGTCCCAGGACAGGGCCCAGGACATGCAAGGCCTGCAATGGGTAGAGTGATCTCAAGAAACTGAGAAGGCAGGAACCATTGACACTCAGCTCCCTCAGCCGCCATCTCTGCATTAGAACACACTAGCTATCACTGGCATGGGGCAAGTGTCTGCCCACCAGCCCTCTGCGGCCCTCCTCTCCTCCATCCCCGTCTCCCAACCTCTTTCATTTGTAGAAGGTAAGACCTGAGTCACTCCGCTGATGCCCAACCTCAAGCCTGGATGATTATGAGCCAGCTGGACAATGCTGGCTGCTTCATTTGAGGTTTGCCAGGTGACCCCAGACATGCTCCTGCAAGCCGCTTGACTTCCCCTCCTTCATCCCGACTCTCTGGGCCTTGACCACATCTATGATCACTACATCATTTAAGACCGGTCATTCATCTACAAGGAATTAAATTTTAGAGGCTAAAAAGTCAATCGATGGCAATAGATTGCTAGACTGCCAGGTCTTGGTGGCCTCTTTGGCAAGAAGTGACCTCTGTGTTTGGGCCCCAGCAGGGCTCCTGAGATGGCAGGGTTGCCTTTTCAGCTCTGCCACATCCTGTGCTCCAGGAATGCTGAAGTGAGTCCACGTTGGAGAAAATAACTTGATCTCAACAAGGATATGGGCCAAAGAAACCTGAGAGAGGTAATCTTAGAAGCCCAACTGTGACACCACACACTGACTAGCGAAAAGGTCAGAACCTGGAGTACATGAGTAAGCTTTTTAATGTTTCCATGTTTCTGTACAAAGAGTCGTCAACTGATTGAGCTAGACAAGGGTGTAGCTGATGTAACCCTCTCCCTCTGATATGCTGGGGCCAGCGGCAAAAACACAGCATCAATTTGTGGGACCACAGGACTTTGGGGCTCTAGTAGCCTTCTAACAAGAGCTGCATATGTGTGCATGTGTGTGCAAGTGTGTATGCATGTATGCGCTTGTGTATGTGCATGTGCGAGTGCATGTGTATGTGCATTGTATGTCTGTACACATTCATGTGTGTGTGCATGTATGTGTGTTTGTGTGTGTACATGTGTGTGCTCATGTGTACATGTGTATGTGTAGTATATGTGTTCATGTATGTTCGTGCATATGTGTGAATGTGTGTTTGTGTGTGTTGGTGTGTGTGTGCATATGTATGCATAGTATTGTGTGCTTTTGTGTGTATATGTGTATGTGCAGTATATGCTTATGCATGTGCACATGTGTGTGTGTGTGTGTCTGTGTGTGTGTGTCTCTGTGTGTGTGTCTCTGTGTAGTGTGTGTGTATATATGCACAGGGGTCAATAACAAGTGTTTTCCTTGCATACTTTCCTCATTATCTTTTGAGACAGGGTGTGCTGGATAGTTTTATGTCAACTTGATAGAGACAGAGTTATCTAAAAGGAGGGATCCTTAGTTGAGAAAATGTCTCATAAGGTTGTGCTGTAGGCAACACTATAGGGCATTTTCTTGATTGATTGGTGGGGGAGAGCCCAACACATTGTGGATAGAGCTATCCCCAGGCCAGTGGTCCTGTGTTCTATAAGAAAGTAGGCTGAGTAAGTCATGAGGAACAGGCCAGTTAACAGCACTCCTCCACAGCCTCTGCATCAGCTCCTGCCTCCAGGTTCCTGCACTGCTTGTCCTGACTCCCTCCAATGCTGGACTGTGATGTGGAGTATAAACCAAATAACCCTCTCCTCTCAAGTTGCTTTGGTCATGGTGCTTTGTCACAGCAATAGTGACCCTCACTAGGACAGAAGTTGGTACCAAGAGAGTAGAGTATTGCTGTGATAGACCTGACCATGTTGTTTTGTGGAAGAGTGTGGAAGGTTTTTGGAACTTTGGGTTAGAAAAGACATTAACTGTTGAGAGCTCAGTGGGCTGTTCCATTGCACTTGGAAGATAAGACTATTGAGAACAGTTCACACAATGAAGGCTTTGTCTCACTGGTCCATTTCCTCACCATTCTGGGCAAAGGCCCAGTTCTGAATGAGGATGCCCTTGGAGCTTGGATACTTTTGGCTTCTATGAGACAAATTGACCCCAGGACCCTAACCCTTCATCCAATCATATCTGTGGTGACAGACCACATTCCAGTTTGCCAGGGTCCAACTTCCATTGTCTGGACCCCCTCTGCTTCCTGCGCTTGAGCTCTGCCCTCCTAATAAAGCTCCATTCACCGATGGTGCATTCTGACAACCATGCCTCCCACCTTGCCCTGCTGCCCAGGTTTCCTGTTTCAGGGCTGTGAGCCAGGGAGACAACCCTGTCAATGGATATTTATCCACTCTACACAGCATAATGCTCAAGGCGCAGGGAATGGGCTGGGAAACCCCAAACCCAAACCCAAGGATTCACAAAGGCACTGAGGGACAGACTCTACCCTACATGGAAAGGGACTCCCAACCCCTGGATGAGGACCTCACCACTCAGAGCTGCTAAGACACCAATGGTCCACTTCCTCCATGCCCTGCTCCACACTACACTCAAGTTCAAAACTCCATCCCCACAGGGTCAAGTACATAAACTCCTTAGAAGTCAACACATCCTTGATGATGGTCCCCATCCTCTGATCCCCATGCCCACCCACTCCTGGCTACCCAATGAAGCTCACTCGTAGATCTTTATTTTAACCACCTTATGCTGCTTCCACCCCTACCCTGTGGGCCTCACACTTGGAGACTTTCAAAAAGCTCCCCAGTGCCCCTCCCATGCTGTCCTGAATAAAAACCTCAATACATAGGCTCAAGACACCTGAGCCTGTACAGCATAGACCCAGACATTTGGAGGCTCCAGCACAGAGGGCCCCTCCTCCCTCCCTAGGTATGTAAACACAGCCATTCCTCTATCCAAGGATTCAGGCACACAGGCTCTCTACCCACAACCTAGGCTCTGAGACCTCTGTTATAACAGATCTCCCTCTGTCACTCCCAAGAGAATCTCAGCTGCAGAGGTCCCCCTTGTGAGAATCAGAACACATAGTCCTAAATCCCAAGAATGGCAGAGGATGTGTGTCTTGGGGTTTGCTGGGCCACCAAAGTCCAGAGCCTGGAACAGCTGAACGTGTGTGACCTCACTTCAAGAAGACCATAGACTGGCAACAGAGGGCACGGGATGCAGGCAGACATCGCCAAGTAGGAAAAGGACTTCAACATCCACTTGTTGCTACTTGTTCCCTCTGGCCTTCTTGAATGCCCTCAGGAGAAGAACTGGAATCAGCCCTGGCCTAGACAGGGGCCAAGGTGGTACCCTGGATAGGGGATCAATACCTTAGAGCCACACCCCTGTCAGTCTGAACCCCAGCCCTGAGCACACCATACCCTCTGCTCCCTGTGCACATCATTCCTGGCTACCCAATGAAACTCACTCAGAGAAGAACTTTATTAAAACCAGCATCAGTTTCAGACCATCTTCCCGTCTTGGGACCGGGACATGAGGCATGAGGGGTCCTCCTGTATGTGGGCAAAGGGGTATGGGCACTCTCCAAGCCCACAAGCTTGGTTATATGTGCTCAGTTGTGGGGGCCCCTGTGGGTGGTAGATGTGGTCCTGATGGAATAGGCCTTGAGACCCGCAGGACCCCCACTGCTTGAGAAACTCAGAGCATTGCTGCCCATGGTTCCCCCGAAGATGAGCCTGCTGCCACTGCTCCCAGTGGAATTCACTACAGCTGGATGAGAAGAGGGTCTGATTAGTGCATATTCCCCTATCCAGGGAACCCACCCTTCCCCCAGCCCACCTTCCTGCCACAGCTGTCCCTCTCCTGACCCTGCCTAAAAGCCCCCCCCCCCCCGCCCTCCCCACAAGAAACTTCTGACAGTGGCAAGGGCCCCTCCATAGAGGCTCAAAGCCTTCCCTTACCTGGCTTCCCCCTACACCCACACCTGCCTT